ATGGATTTTGACAGTGTCCACCTGGCTTCCCTGAAAACCAGCAGACAGGACGCACACAGCCTGTAAGAGTATTAGAGAGGAGACAACGCTTTCTACTGAGAAAAGATTGAACAAATCAGGAATAGTAAACTTCATTTGTTTTTCAGCCAGTTTCATCCTCCTCTGATATCTCCTGCTACATTCACAACTGTCAAAGCACACGCAAGCTTTCCCCTATGCCAGCTGTGCTTTTCCCTCCATCCTTCAGCGAACAGAGACAGCTTCCCCAGTTAGAGCTAAGGGACCCTGAGGCAATAGCTCACCGTTGGGCCACGAAGGCAGGACAGACAGGCCACCCTTTCAGGCCAGGCCTGACAAGCTGGTGGCTCGTCACAGCAGTACAGGACTGCTGGAAGGGACCAAGGCACAGGAAGGCCAGACCTGGATTAGCAGCCAGAGGGGATTTTTTATCACCTCTGACTGTGGGCAGTCCTCGGAATAACCTTGAACCACCACATCAAGTTACCTTGGAGCTGCTTTTCCTCTCATCCAAACCTGGGAGGGGAGAAAGGAGAAGCCTTACTCTATTTATATGGGACGGTCCCATGCCACAAGCAGCAAGGAAGCAAGTGTCAGCTTCATGGCTTGCAAAACATTTACCATAAGCACAGTGCAGAAGAGGTGTGTAAAGACTGCTTTTCAAATCTATGGCTGTTGGGAGTCAGAGGTGGGACTGGGATGCTGTACAAGAATTAGGATCAGACTTAGTTGGTTTAAACTGCCTTTAAGTGGCATTATTTGGTGAGGGAACCAGTTGTGAAATGAAGAAGCAGGAAGGAAGGGAGACACAAGTTAGCGCACCTTGTATTGCACATACAAGCTATGCATTGTCCCCTGTGCACCCTTTTAAAAGATATTATAGAGACAATAAAGCATATTCAAAACCAAAGACAGCCCAAGTCAGTATCTGGTGCTTCTAGCTACAGCATTCCATCAGCCTTTCATCTGAGGAAGCAATAGCAAGGAGCTCTCATAAGGCCTTCAGGGAATCATGGAGAAGCAGGTCACTTGCCAGACTGCGTGTAGGTAAAACTGCCGATAACAAAGTGAAAACCCGACCTTGGTGTTCCTGCTCTTAGGTATAATCCAACAGATTTCACCAGCAATGAACTGAGGCTGGTAGCAATCTCACTCTCCCGTGTTACTGGTACTCCTGGAGAGCATTCTCCTGTGTTAAAACCTGTAAGTTGCCTTGTATTTAGTACAGTAAGTATTATTAGACGAAGTAAAAATTTTATGAGCTATTAAATATCATTAGACATCATAGATCTCATGGGTACATCACTTTGAAACATCTATTGTCTTCATCAAAATTGTAATAGTTAAGTTTTAGATCTTGTGTACCCCAGTTCTACCTTACTACATACCTAGGTAACTATCATAAAAAATTAAGAGCAATGGAACTCTCATTTAGGCCCTTTTATTCAGAGAGCACAGTAAGTGCAGCAAGAGATTAAGCAAGCCCAGCATTGGCAGAATGCAGCCTGGAGAACTGAAACCCCATCTATGGCCAACAAATTTGTAACTGAAGAAACCCTAGTCATTACATACAGTTTAAATTTTTGAGTAGATACTGCACCACTCACTCTGTCAAACTTTAAGCCAAAAGGAATACAATCTACATTAACCAAATAAGATGTAGACTTTAGAGTGTGGTAGTTGCTTTAAAAGCACCCAATTAAACAAAACAAAAAAAAAACGTAAACCAACAACCAAAACCAAAACAAACCCCAGCCAAATAAAACAAGACTAAGATACAAGAATTCAGATCGGTTTCAGCTTTACAACTTGTAAAATGCGCCTTACTTACAGAACTGGATGCAATCACAATCTGCTCACTGTATCTGTAGCTGACATCTGACAGTATGAGAGAGCTTGGAAATCAAGTAATTATGGATAACTATGATAACTTTCTTGCCACAATGTAGGAAGTTACCAGCTCGGAGCTGGGAGGCTGTAGGTGACAACGTATGTGCTCCCACAACCGTTCCAAGTGAAAAGCCAGTACTTGGCCTGGAATGCCTCACTCTCTGTCCCCACTTGAGAATAAGACGTGAAGTTTATGACCTTGATCTTCAGCTTTTTTTTTAACCTTAGGCTCGGCTCTTCTATCCATTCAAGTTGCATGACATGTAAAGTCAAAATATCTGTACTAAAGAGCAAGCCCGTAAACGGTGTTCCGTAAAAGGTGTTCCTGTCCAAAGGACTAGAAAGTAGCACGAAAAAAACCCCAACATTTTCCTTTATTCCAGTTTGATTTCAGGTATGGTATCAGTTGCATTCATGTTTCCATCACTGAAAATGACTTGTGTATCAGAAGTATACTAGAGTACAAAATGAAGCCCATAAATGCATGTGCCCAACCCCACAATGAAACAAAACAACAAACTTAACACTTACTTACTGCGTTATTTGTGATTGCTTTGCAATAAAAGCATGTTTTAAGAAAGTATTAGAGATGCATTTTGAGAAGCCCTTGCCTCTTCTCCCAAGGAGTAAAATCAAGGCAGCACTTTTTGACTTATTAGTAAAACTAGTCAAATCAAGTAGCAGCTCATGTCCAGATGGTTTTGCTAGCTCCCTAATTTCTGAAAAATATGTTAAAATTGAACGACTAGATTTTTCTGTGAAGATTAAAATTCAGGTGGTATACTGAAAGCAGTATATGAAAGCACAATGCCACCCTGCCTGTTGCCAGGAAAGGGTCCTCATATGTATGGCCTGAATGATAATTTTTTGGTAAAGCTGTTTCTCAAAAAAGTAAAGTCCCAGTTCAGAATGAACACGCCAATTGCACTAATGCATGCACACAGTATGATGGGAAATGCAGTTCTTGTTCAAATCGCTTACACGACTTAACTCTACAAAAGATGAGCCAGTCTACTGAAATTTTCCAAGTGGCTACCACTCTTTTCAAAGGGACAAAAGGCAGCATATGGATTTTTCATATCATAGGTATTGATGAAGCGAGGAAGCCTGTTTCTAAGAAATGCCATCAGAGGCCTATATAGAAAGAAAACCCTGCATCTTGCAATTAAATATGCCCTTAAAAAAACTTAAACACAATAATGCAAAGAAACCAATTTTGCTCTGCTGCTTAATTAGGTCTCCTGCCTGTAGTAGGCCATCACATTATGTTGACCTATGCAATACTTTATGGAAGAGTCACCTCCAGAGAGGCCGAAAGCCATTTCCATCAACCGTATTGATGCTGACACTAGAATGGTAATATGTCTAACAAGGAGGAGGAAGGGAGATTTGATTTTTTTTTGTGAATAAGCTCACATTTATGTTTTACAAAACTATTTCCCAAATTATGAAAAAAAAAAGTTTCCCCATTCTTTTTTTGCTAATTCAATATTAGAGGCAACATCAAGGATTACAGTGCTTATAACATGTTTTATTCAATTCACATAGAAAAGCATGCAGTATTAATGTCAAATGGTACAGTATTAATGTAAAATGTTCAGTGCACATTAGGTAAACAAGTCATTAGCATACAAACCCATTTTTATGGTCTATACAGGCATACTGAACACATTTAGAATAGCAATGCTTTTTGGGAACTAAATTAAAAATTGTGCTTAACTTCAAAAAATATAAGCCGTTTGCAGTGTTGAAGAAGAGATGTTTTCTAACTGAAGTGCTGTAACCCTGAAAAGAAAGACGCTGCTACCTTACACCCACTTAAAACAAGTTTCAGTACAGTACAGTCCAAGCAGCAACACTTCCTCTGGGATGCAAGTTTTGACATTGTTTTATAACAATTCCATGAATCCAAAGGATATATAGCCAGTAGCTGCCTTACACGCACAAAATGTAATCTTTAGGAACGGGAAATGTAACCTTTAAAACAAATTCTTACATAAATGACAGATTTGACAAGACCACTTGAAAACTGTCCCGTTCAAGGGATCCATTAGCTGTGCTCACAACTGGAAGATCATGTAACCTGAAAACTTAAAAGAATATCCAAAACCCCAAAACTTCCAAGCAAACAAAATGCCCAGTGAAAGAAAAGAATGTGGAATGGTTCTTCCCTAGGAAAGAGCTTGTAACGGGCAAGGGAACGTTCAGTTTTCACAGATGAAAAAGACAGGATCAGATTGCATGGAAGTCATTAAAAATTAAGTTCACCTGTAAATATTAAACATTTGCAGGTTGACGACTTTGAGTCACATTTGATTTCCAAGCAGAGTCAGTTTTTGGTGGTTTTCGACGGACTAGCACTGGAAAGGCTGCTTTGTATCTTCCTCTTGGTCGACTGACTGACATTTTTGTTTTTCCTTTCAGCTATAAACGAAGATACCCAAGGAGGATTAAGCTGATTGTGCAGGTCAGATGACATCTTTAAAAAGCAGGACCCGAACTTTTGTTCCTCAAACAACCTTTGTGAATTATTAAATAGTAAACTCTGGGAAAAGTCTCTTTGAAATAAACAGTTTGGAGGTTTGGTATCACTAGCCACTATGTTTTGGCCTGTAAACAGTGGAAAGTGGTCATTCATATCTAGCTCAGATGGGGAGAGGATGGAAAACATAGCAGGTTTCCAGCCAGTTCTGTCAACTGCTAGATCGCTGGTCTCTGGACACTTCATACTCTGTTCCTCATTCATCTCTTCCAGTTTCTTCTCGGTTTCATTCAGAAGCTTAGAGCACTCTGTTGACTTGGAAGAATTATCAAGATCGGAGGACTTGAAATTATAGCATGGACTCTTGCTGTTGTCTGATTCAGACATCATTGAGTCTAATTCGGAAATTTTATCAAGGTAGGCAGCATCCATAGATGCCTCACTGGAGGTTCTTGTGCGATTCATTTCAGAAGAGCAGAGAGTATGTAACCTTTTAGGTAAGCAAGAATTTGTTTTATCACTGGATTTTGCTGATGTCTCATCTGACTGGCCAGCTACTGAATTTTGCTCTGATTCATCAAAATCTAAGGTCTCAGCAAAGTTTGTTGGGCAGGTCCCCCAAAAACCTGATTTTCCTGTCGTAAAACAGTTTAGCTTCTTTTCGCTATTACAGCTGCTTGTGCTGTGTTCGGGAGAATCTTTGCTGCAATCATCTGAAGTGTCACAAAACTCTTCAAATTTCAGTTTTCTCAGGAATGTTGATGGTTTCCTTGCATTTTCTTTTCCATCCGGAGTGTTCAACTGAAGGCGGCTGAGAGACAGAAAAGGAGTGCACGGTGGTGGAAGATCATAAAGTTCTTCATCCTTATATGGGGTACATTCCTCAATTTTATTCCACTGCTCTTCTAAGCAGGCATCCATATTTGTAGTATTTTCATCCAGGAGAACCCCATGGCATCCTGGAAATAGTTCTTTCTTTGGGGCACACTGGGTATTTGAGCCATTTGAACCATCTTGGCTAGAAGAGCTTAAACGAGTTCCACCAGTTGTCAACTGTTCAAGACTGTCAGGACTTTGACTGGTAGTCAAAGCTTGTTTCTCCTCAACTTGGGTTTTCAAATGTGTTGTATCTTCACTGCTCTCAGCTCCTTTAGTATCTGCGGAAAGTGCTCTCTCACTAACAGCACTCACTGTTTGGGTTCCTTCGCCTGCATTTTTCAGCTGTAAAAGCTGACACTCCAGTTCTTCTATGTATTTATCACTTCTTTCCAGTGCCTTTTTTAGACGGTTCATTTCACGTTCACTTTGCTCTACTTTGGACTGAAGTGCAGCTACTGTAAACCTACCAAACCTGCAAGAAGTAAAAAAGAAAGAAAATATTAAACTGCAAAAAAACATGGTGCTTTGTGAGCTCATTTCAATAAAGAACAAAGCTATTAAACATTGTGTTAATTCAAAAACAAAAGTCAGAACTTTTCTCTGCTAGTTATGAAAAAAAAATCATCATATATAATGTACAGGTGGAGGTGAATACCTGAAAAGCCAAAATTAAACTATTAGTGGTAGTAAGGCAATAACAAGCAGATTACTCTTCCAGGGGCTGGTTCTATCAATTCAACTCAAATATGCATGAAGAATTATCCCCTAAAACAATGGCAAAGATTTATGATAACATTTGAACAGTGGTCCACATCTTGAAATATTTACATTCAATCATTTTCCTACAGTACAGCAGTGTTTTACAATACAATTCTTACACAATGTCACCTTGTCAAATATAAAATGCCAATATGAAGAAATTGGAATAGTCCTTTGAGGTGGTTTAAATACTTATATAGACAATTTCAATTGTGTTCCCGTTAGATATACAGCTTTTCCTTGGCCATCGTGCGGATGGTACTTCCACTTACTTCAGAACTACTTGTTTTTTTGAGCTTTACAACTGGAACAATCTAATTTCTTCCTTGACTCCAATACAAAAAACCTGCCACTTGTGGTTTGTGAAAGTTGTGTGTTTGTGTGGCTTCCAGCTTAAGCACATTTTCAACTGCCAAGATACGTACTTGCCTTCGCCCTATCCTCCACCAGCTTTCAAGACTGACCTTCCCCAGAGGGCAGGTGAAGGTTTCAGCTATATGCCCTGACTAATTCTAACCTGTCACTGACAGGTGGGCACCAGGGAATTCCCTGCTCCATCCGAGGTTTTCAATTTACAGAAAGAAAAAACAATTAAAGTTCTGGTATTATTAGGAAGGAGAGGAGGACCTGCAGCTACCTTACAACTCTGACACACAAGGTTTTATACCACAAAGAAATGACAATTGTGTATCTGGCCTTACACTAACCTCCACTTTCCATCTTACATCTATATTCGGTCTTCCAGCACAAACACCGCCTGGAATTTCTATCCTGTTCCTTTGTCTGTCTGTCTGTCCCTCCTTCAGAGTCACAGGGAACTCCAATTCCATCTTCCCCATTCCATCCCCACACCTCGTCACAAAATGCTCCCACTGCAACCCTTAGACCAGCGAGGTCTGAAGATGGTATATCTGTGGCATGCCCCTACGCTGGCAAAATATCCATGAATCTATGCATGCATTTCCAGCAAAGGATAAAACTGTATTTTGTTTCTTTGATTCCTGAGCCCAAAGCAGCAGGAAACTGCTCTACACTGACAACTGCAATGCAACTAGGTGGGCAGTCAGGGAAAGGAATAAGGGGCATTACAAGCCCTAATCCAATTGGGCACAAGTGACCAGATCTACTGACATATTTCACTGTTCAACTGCTTCTGTGCATTTAAAAGACTTCAAAGATTTTGGTGCAGATGGTTCAGTGGTGGGTAAGATTCACACAATGGTCTAAATCAGTTCTCTCACAGCACTGCTACTAGACCACTTTTAAAATCAGATCAGCCTAAGCTTCACACAGTTTTGGTATGTGCCAGTCACTGCTTTGTAGACAAGAAATGGCAAGCCAGTAGTTTTACATTTAGAATAGGAGTGTTCACTTACTAACAGTTTCTTCTCCCCTAGAAGCAGCTGGCTAGGCTGGAACTCTATCGAGGCAAGGACCCTCCTCCCCGCCCCCGTATTACCTCTACTCAATTATCTTTGTCTTCACAAAAATGAAGACAGACCATTTTTCATTTGCTTACTCTACAGGTAACAAGTTTTCTCAACTGATTATAGCAGTTTCTCCACTTCTGGTTGCATGCAAGAAGGAAACAGGAGAAAAGATGCACAAGACTTCCTCCCTCTCCCCTATGAAATCAGATAAAAGCAGAATCACAGACAGCTCAGGAATGTTTCAATTATATTTTCAGGTGAAGGGGGTTACAATGAAATAAGCATCCTCATATACAACCCGTTTTGGCTTATTCCCTCCTTCAGTAAAAGGAACTCAGATATTGGTTTAAGTTACTGAAGGAGCCACTGTGGTACAGCAGGGCCCAAGCAAGACCCTTCCTGCTTCCTAGGGTGATTCAAAAGTATTTATTTTGCCTTTCTGTAACAGACTTGTTCACACAGCCTTACCGAAGCAAACCCTACACTGCTTAATAAAGGATATAAAGATGATGGAAAAATACAATTTAGCTTAATAGCCAAGTGAGAGATGGGGAAAAATACTTACGTAAAATAGGCAAGATTTTCTGGAGTCTGCTGTAACAGACACTTTGACATAAAAATTAAACATGTTTACATTTATATGCATACCTGGCAATTCCTTTTTAATGGAAGAATGGTGTAATATGTTTATTTAATGCAAATAGCATTAGTGACAGCCTGAGATTTGCTTATGAGGAAGAAGCACTGTATTCTCAAGTGCAACTTTTATAACAAGTGTCTTCAGGTTAAAAAAATACAGTGTGTTGTTCAAAGCCAAACAGCATCACTAATATGTTAATTGTTGCAGAGGGATGTGCTTGGGAATTTCGGTTTTCAGAAACGGAGCATATGACACGCTGCCTATAAACAGTTACCTCTGCAGTTAAGCACCAGAACAGTAGTTGCTTTCTGTTCCTGCTTTGAGACTTGCATGCATTTATTTCCGCAATACAAAGGACAGAGATTTTTAAGACAGTCATATTACAATGCACATATTTAAACCAATTACTCCAGACCAGAGCATGACATAGATGTTTTGGTGACTGACCTGGCAGGTCAGCATTGTTTAAAAGACAGGCATATTTTGGTTAAAGAAGCAAAAACTCTCCCCATCTCCTCAAACCAAACCACTCTGCTACATTTTGTCTTCTTTTCCCTTCGGGTGTACAGTGAGTTGTGCGACAGCCAAAAAGTTATGATCTGATGATAATAATAAAGGAATGTAGTACAGTTGTACAAAAATAAATTAAGGTTTGACCTGACACTCTAGATAAATGCTTTTTCCTGAAGTATTTGAACCATTTCACACTTGGTAACAAGTTGATACATTCTTCAGTAGAAGTTAAGGTATTCAGTATGCATGTGGTAAAGAGCACTTTTCATATCCTCATGCATGGACAAAGTCTTTTGAGTGTTAGGGTCTTGTGCTTTAGTTGTATCACTTAAACAATGAGTTTGTATCTCACTGCATTTGTTTCAGGTACCACCTTTCCATAGAAAACTGAAAGCCCAGAGAAACTAGTGGTCACTCATAAAGTGAATAGAAAGACACTTCAGGTGGGATTTGGATCCTTCAACACAGACACCTAGTGACATTTTAGACGGCCTAAGGTCTTTTACATGACTGCTGGCCTCCAGCCATCACTCTGGAAGGATACAGGTGTCCTATAGGTCCTGTATCACAGCTGACAGCCCCAGGCAGGTGTACTGGATGTGTTATAGTGTCTGAGGTGACACTGGATGTCTAGATGAGCATTTGAACCCTGTATTTCAGGATCTTGCCTCAGTCAGAGTCTTTCTTCTTAACCCAGCATGATTCTAACTTGACATCAATCAGAAAGTTGCAGTCAGCTCTCACCTACAATGAGCAAGAAGAACTAACACCACAGCTATAAAGCTTGAGTAAGTCTCTTTCACATAATTTCACAACTCTTCTCTCACTTACGTTCCAATACTCCTGTCCTGCTTTTGGCTGGGGTAGAGTTAATTTTCTTTAGAGTAGCTGGTATGGGGTTACGCTTTGGATTTGTGCTGGAAACAGTTGATAACACAGGGATGTTTTAGTTATTGCTGAGCAGGGCTTACACAGAGTCAAGGCTGCTTCTGCTTCTCAGCTCACCCCATCAGCGAGTAGGATGGGGATGCACAAGGAGTTGGGAGGGGACACAGCTGGGACAGCTGACCCCAACTGACCAACGGGATATTCCATACCATATGACATCATGCTCAGCATATCAAGCCAGGGGAAGACAGAGGAAGAGAGGGACATGGGAGTGATGGCGTTTGTCTTCCCAAGTAACCATTACATGTGATGGAGTCTTGATTTTCTGGAGATGGCTGAACACCTGGCTGCCCATAGGAAGTGGTGAATGAATTCCTTGGTTTTCTTTGCTTGCGTGTGTGGCTTTTGCTTTACCAGTTAAACTGTCTTTATCTCAACCCACAAGTTTACTCACTTTTACTCTTCCGATTCTCTCCCCCATCCCACTGGGTGGGGAGTGAGCGAGTGGCTGGGTGGTGCTTAGCTGCCGGCTGGGGTTAAACCATGACAACTCCTGAAGATGTCCATTTAGAAATTATTTGGGAAGTTTAATAGTCTCTCACCTACAAGAGAATAGATTTCTTCTGTTGTTTCTTCTCTTCTTATCTATCAGTTCCGCAAATTCAGCTTTCGGGTTTTATTTTCACACATCAGTGACCACTGACTGTAGCACGTCTGCCTAGTTGAGCCCTAAAGTCATATCAACTCAGTTTAAAACCACAGAAGCTCATACAAACATTTCTCTTTGTGGACAGTAAGCAGCTGCAGCAAATAGTTTTCCTGTATAACCATTTACAGAAGACTGGGGCTGGAAGGACACTATGGAAGATGACTCTCCAGTTCCAATCACCTGATGGCCCAGACTGGGGACTACCCTGTGGCTCAGATACATGAGCATGATCTGTCCTCCAGAGGAAACAAAGGGTGAGAAGTCGGAAATGACAATGTACTGTCAGGGCTTGTCACAGTTCGAGATCAGGGCAATGACAGCATGACCAAACCCAGTCCCATCATTCAGATATACATTTTCACTTGGGTTCTGCAGATAGATTGGAAGAAAGAGGTAGGAAATCCAAGAACAAACCAGCTGAAAGCCCTCCTAGTTTCCACAGCCCTTCTGTGATTTCATGCACCAGCTGCAGCTGGACAAGAACGAGTTTGCTATCACCCTTTAGATAAACTATGAAAAGTGATCTGCAACAACATCTTGATAATATCGCAGGTTATGTACAATTGCCTTAGACGTGTGTATTTCCATAGGCACGTTTAACAAGAAAAACACAAAGTTACTGTCAGATGGGTCCCTTTACCTAGCAGGCAAAAAAAAAAAAGTCAAGAGATTCACCTCATGCAGCTTGCTCTATTTAAGATCTGAAGTCAGAAAAAAAAATGAATCAGTAATGGAATTTGGTTCCACTGAAGAAGTAGCCCTGGGTATGGCCTACTACTGCTTTCCATTCTGCAGACCAGGTTGGCTGACAGAAGAGAGTGTACAACGGCTCCTTCTTGAAGGAAATAGTAGGAACACTTGCTATAGCTCATTTTCTAAGCTTGTAAAAGAACAAGTTATTTTCAGTATAAGCAAATACTGGGCAGTAAATCCCCTTCATCACAGTTTGCAGAGTACAAATCAATCTGAAGATGCATGGCCTTCCTCACAAAATCTCTCTTGAGCATCAGGGAAATCCACTCCCTTCACATCACATGAGTAAGGCTAAGCTTTACTGTTTGTTGCATGACTGTAGAGCAGCAGGATTTGAACAGAACAGTCAAATCAGGTATGTTCCTTGAAACGAGCCTCTCCTTTCACTTAGGGAATTAGGTGAATTCAGACAAACGTGCAAAGCCTCTCCAAGCATTTTAACATCTTTCAGTGAAGCAGTACTGGTCTTCCACATATGAAAGCCAAATTATACCCAAGGTCTGTGAATAGCATAAGTCAGAAAGGATTACTTCAGAATTACTGCAAAAAACATCGGAAACCCCACAAAGCTGCGGAGTGTGATCTACATGTCCTTATCCATCTGCTTAAGGTTTAGATCTTCACACCCAGGTCTTTGAAAATGGCCACGTCTCTGGGATAGCAAGCTTGCGGGGAGGTGGAAAGTAGCCCAGTTTTCTGTCAAGGAAGACAGCAGCATTCTTGGCCTCTGCACCCTGGACACAGGTTACTAGAAGCCTAACTGTAGGCTCAGAGAAATGCAGACTGAATTAAATAGTCTGCCATGAGCGGAAATATTTGAGTTAGATAAAAATTGAATGTTGTACAGAATGACCTAAAAAGTCAACAGTCTCAGATTTCAGTGTGCAGGTACCTGAAGTCACAAACCTGCACAATATAAACAGTAAAACTAGAGAAGGGGAAAAAAAAGCCCCAAAACAGTAACAATAAAACAACTCACAAAGCCAGAGAAAAGAGGTAATGCAACAATTTTCTGCATGTAACAGATAGTTTTTCAGACTGGGATTTTAAGTGGCATAAGAAATTAAATATTTAGGGAAAAGGCTCCTAGGAAGCCTAGAAGTCTGGTTCAAGCTAATTTGAATCTAACCATTCATAAAATACACTATACCCTGGAGTAGATGGACTTGCTAGTTATTTTCCTTCAGGTAAAAAGCAAACATCCCTTTGCCAAAAATGCTTTTAGATCCATTGTGCCCTGCCAATAGACCTAACAGTTTTCTATTTTAAGTAGAGCTGGAAGTAATAAGGTTTTTATCATCCTGTAAAACTTAAGTTTTAGAAGTTTTCCTTCTGTATCAGGAAAACGGAAGTCACTGAAAATTCCTCAGGAGAAAGGGCAAACAAAGAGCAAGCAACAACCACCAAACAATCAGTCTGATCTCCCTGAGAAATGGGAGACTAATTCAGGTCTTTGCTAAGAATCAGAGCAAGAAACTTACCTCTACTTGCTTTTCAGACCTATGTCCCAACTCTATGATGGTACAGTATTCTGGTGAAGGTCTACTCTCAAAAACATTTCGGGGAAAAAAAAAAAACCTAATCAATCAGCATCATCAATTAAAAAATTGTGTAAAAATCCCTGACATAGCTGCAATGTCAATTTTATTGACATACATGACATTTTCCAGCAGGTTTTAATGGATATGAACAAAGAAAAACAACTATAGACTATGATAAAAGGAAAGTTTTTTATTGACCACTGAAGAAGGTTAATTATATTTTTCCTGTGACGTCAGAGGTACAGCCTGTGTTACAAAGGGATCACTCACCTGCCTTCAGTGTTTCCTTTGCCGTAAAGTAATGCCTACTAAAATAATTTAGGTTGTGATACTTAGCTCCAGTGTCATCATACACAAAATGAACTGCACTTGGGATAAGGGGACCGAATACTGACAAAATCTTTCAAAAATAATTCGGTACAAGTTTTAGTTAGTTACCTAGCCAGCTGTTTAAGCATGAATCCACACCTGACAATCTGAAGCTAAGAAATATATGACAAATGAAATAATAGTGGTGGCACTAAATTACAAAGATCCAATTCAGTAGCTATTTTAAATTGCACTAGAGAGTCAGTCAGAAACTTTTTCCAAAAACTACCTTCTGAACAATCCCAAACAAAGTACACTGAAACAACTGTACTGGCAAATCAATGTACCTGCACAGAAAAGTTTAATTATGGTGACATTGTTGGGCTCTGATGCTTATGCCTTCAATTTTGAATTCATAAGTAAGATAAGAAAGCTTTTATTGCAACTCCTGTTCAGTGTGTGAAGTCTAGCTGAAAGACCTTTTAGATATTATCAAAGTTTGCCATCAGAACTGGAAGAACATTTAAAAACTATCTTGGTGTTAGGTCTGGTCTAGATATTGACCAGACTAATGACTACAAAGATGAAAGTTAATTTATAAAATCTGCTAACAATATTAAGATGGGATAGACTTCTTACCACCTGAAGGATGCAACTGGAATTCAAAAGGATTGTTTTAAGTTTGACATATGCATCAAAACATCAACACAAAGAGAGCCAATAAATGGGTAAAGTCCCACACTTCAGAAGGAGACATTAACAGCACAAATGCAAAATGAGGTAAGAAGGTAACTTTCTAAGTAGCTGTTTAGCAGAACGTCCTGGCCATTCATGCTAGAACCGTCAGGTAAAAGGAAGCAACAAAAAGGGTATTGCAAGATATCAATACAAGATGTTGTAGCAAGACACAAGACAGTTTTTCTGCTCTAGTTAGTACTACTGAGGCTTCATTTAGAATCTAGTACATAGTTCTAAGTATTTTTGTCTCAGAAAACCATAAACACTGGAGAGCCTTGAGTATGGCAAAACAAAATAAATCACACTTATCTAGAAGAACTGGACAAATTCACTCCAGAACACACAACTAGGACCGAATAGGTATAGGCAGGGTGAATCAAAATTGCTAAGTTTAATGTGCTGAAAGGTTTCTTCCATGACACATTTTCTCTTGCATATACTTAAATTCTTGTTGTACACCACTGGGCTCAAAGTAAAACCAAAGCTGATGATAGCAGAAGCAGGGTATACACATGCAAACTCCTAATGTGTTTGAACTGTTCCCGGCCCAGTTTAAGCCTGATTCAACTCATGTCCTCAATTCCCATGCACAGTTCTAGAGTCAACATGGGCCAAAGATCATTCCCAACAGGCAGGTAGGATGTAACTACCTGTTCTGGAGAGTTAAAAAAAAAAAAGTTTAATAGTAGAGACATGGACAGGTCAATCTAGTTGCCATCTGGGTTGCAAAACAGACCGTGACATTGTCCAATTTTTAATAACATTTGGCTATATCTGTGCTTCTAAAAAAGAGAGTGACTGGCAATTGTTTTAGGTCACACTGGCACAAGATGGGAAAATAATCAGCTTGTAACAAAGACTAGTTCTTCACACCCCTGCCCCTCCAATATCTAATTTTTCTGACCAACAGGATGGTAAAGCATTCACAAGCTAGAAGAAACGGAAATTCTCTCCACTGGGGAGTTTACCTGATATCAGTAAAGTAAAAATCAAGATAGATGATCTGGTCTCTTCTATATCTTCTTTTCTAGGATTTATTTATTTGTATCTATTTACTTTTCAAGTTTGCCATCTTTGCCAACTCACTCTCAAATCTCATGGGAAATCTCCATGTCACTAAAGCCCTCTCTCTCCATTGCCAAGACCTTAAACAGGTCTCTGTCTCCCTTATTAGGGGATTTCAGGGCAGAATGTACTTTTATGCATTTAATAGCATAGCACAAGGATCATGCATCTTCTTTCCTGGGGTCTTGAATGACAAGCAGTCTGGCAAGCAAGCTCTCTATAAGGACGAATTTTGTCTTCCAGTAAGTGACTTGTGAACTAGAAAAAAATCCAGAGGTCTCTGCTCACATTACACAGGTGTTCCCCAACCCCGCTCCTCACAGGCACCTTATAAACCTTCAGCCAATGGTGCTCTTCGCTTTCTAAGTTCTAAACCAACGAGAGAAAAAAAAGGTAGAAAACTAATGAAAGAAAGGAATACAACTTTAAAAATATGAACACGCTGCTTCACAAAGTACTTCCAAGGAGAGCTACCTTAACACACAGGTATAATCAGCATGGTAAAGTTTCTGCTTTTTCAGGTCACTGTCATTGATGTTTTAAGTGTTTAAGACAGAGTATTAAACACAGGTGTCAGTTCTGGGAATGATGTTCTCATGCTGCAGAAGCTCGATTCCACGTATCTTGCCCAGACACATAGCTATCAGGGACTTTCCTTGAACAGGGAGCCTAAGTCCACAGAACAAACCCTGAAGGCAGCAAAAGGAAGAACAAAACAAAACCAAATACAAACAAGTAGAACATCTGCACTTAGTAACAGATCTTCTACTTTGACCATATACCAGATTTAGAAATTTCCCAGTAACAAAAATAAGTTAACTGTAGAATTCAACTAATAAATTCAGTCCTTCCATATTGGCCAGATAATGCAAGGAATAGCACTTTGAGTCATGTCATATTCCTTCACTGTAGACTTCCTGCTATTCTGTAAGTTGTATTTGTCACTCAATTCTATGAGGATAAAAATTCCAAAATCTACCTGGAGACACATATGCAACACCATGTACACCACCGCAGTTTTAGGTTAAAGTCCTACAACAGTTAAACAGTCTGTAAATAAAATATGGTAGCTTTTAAAATATTCACATACTTTTGGGGTGATCTACTATCAACTTCAGCTTTTAGTCGCAAATTCTCTCTTAAAAGGCTATTGTTTTCCATGCTCAGTTTCTTATTTGCCTAAGGAAAAGAAAAGGAAAAAAATAAGTATAGAGTAAAATAGAAACGACTTCTAATATTTATAGGACAAGCTGTTTCTCCTTTTTAAAGAGACAGAACTAGAAATGTGAAGGCAGGAAACAGCCTTCAGACAGGGACACCACTTAAAAATCACCATGGGAAATGGCTTGCAAAACTGAATAGCGAACAGACATTTTTTATTTATATTCCCAAAATACATCGCAAGTGTCCTATCTAGGGAAATAAACACAGCTATGTTAGCACAGAAAGTCATTAAGGAGATGTACTAATGGCATTTCCATGTTTTTTTTTTCCACATGACTAAATATGTTAAGTACATTAACATTACAATGTGCAGGTATCAGCAAAACTAATGTTGAACAGCTTCCCCCATTCCAAATTAGAGTAAGATTACTTTGGGTTTTTTTGGCTTGTTTTCAAAGCATAGTTATCCTGTGGATGTAAATCCATTAGGGCAAGCTATTTGCAGTCTTTCTTCAGTTTCTTCCAGGACATTGTGATTAAGATTCCTGATTCACAACCCTTCTTACTCCTTGAATTGAGGTCAATTCCTTCTTCTCAGTTCAGCAGACACCCTTGTTAACAAGATACTTCATATAAAGGGAAGTTTTCCTGCCACCGTGTTTCAGAACAATGAATGCCACTATCCTACCAAGTAGAAAATACTCTTTGCACTTCATAGCCTGCTCAATCTCCGTACGCTGAAAACAGCACCACCAGTCCAGGCCTTGTAATTCATAGCCTCAAGCAGATGATGCTCCCGCTGCATAACAGAACTATGACGTAGAGTTAGATCTGAAGAAGGAGCTACACAACTGGGCTCAGGAGTGAAAGGTACTTTTTTCAGAAGCATCAAACAGTGCAAGAAGAGAGGCAGAAAACTCTAAATGCTTATACAAATATTCCCAGCAATCTCTCCAGGTGAGGCTAAGACAGTGGGCAGTGGGGGGAATGGAGCAGAAAAAAATAAGCAAACACCTCTTTGCCCCCCCCCCCCCCAATATTCCTAGGGGCAGAAAGAGTAAATAGAGACTTCTAGTGACCCCAGGGCTTGAGTGCCCGAGTGTCAACTATTTGCTATTTAAAAAATAAAACCACAAAAAAATATCCTGAAATCAATGAGTAAGAACACCTCACTTCCAAAGGAGCATCAGACCACGTGACAACATGACCAAGACCTTTCTGTCTTTCCAGAGACACAGTTCCCCCAGTCACACAATCAAACAGAAAATTGCATGAGTTGTGTAGAGTTGGTAGGTAGGGCATCCACCTGGCACATGACAAGGCAGGACTGAATCTCTTTGGTGTTCTTCTTCCTGAGTGCTCTACCCTCCAAGTCAGTAAGGGATCTCCACTTGCAGCACAATATCTAGATTAATAAGTTCATGTAACTGCATTATTAATGTAGTATTTCTACTACTGAGCTTGCATCACCACTTCCATGCTTATTACGACTGTACTTGAAGTAATAATGCCTACTTTGGGAGTCTCTGTTCCAGGACACTAAATGATAAATGTGGCTGCTATTTCCTGACTCAGTCTGGTTTTAAAAAGAGAGTGATGGCACCCACATTTTCTGAGGGACCCTGTCTCACTGGGAAGCGATGTGCTGTTGAAGCTCCTGGGTCAGGTACTTTAGGGCATAAGAAGGTTTCTGGTTCCAAATTGTGGGTACGCGGGAAAGAGGTCTTGCTGTTCAGACCGAAGAGCTCTTGCTGTTCAGACTGGGGTTGGTCAGTGCATGCTTAGAAGTGAAACCAGGCCTAACAGAAGAGCCAAGTGACTTTAGGTACTTCTGGAATTGAGCAGCTGTTGAACAGGGAACAGATGAAAAGAGAGTGTTGGACTCAATGATCTTAAAGGTCTTCTCCAACCTAAATGATTCTATGACCACAGTTTAAGGCTTGGTCCCTAAAACCCATCTAAACCTCTATTCGTATCTAACCATTAATCAAATTCAGGGATTCCATAACCTTAAAATCTTTTTCTTGCTAAGGCTGAAGTTATACTGAAAAAACCCCAAACACACCCCTCCTTCAGTCCCTGCTATATTCTTCTTTTTACTTACCTAGGGAAAAAGTTTAAAACCTTAGTCACCACAAAACAAAGAGGCAGTACAGTTTAACTTTATGAAAAAAAATCCCAAACCAAAAAAAAACCCAAATTAGGTAGACAAGAACTCCTTACTGTGAATCCTCTTTTGCCAACTACAAGTGACTCTCAAGCTCCTGGGATCCTCTTAGGAGGGCAGAAGATGTGTCCCAGCCTGTAAAGTTGAGGTCTGAATCTAACTAAGCTATTCAAAAAGCTAATTTTGGAAACTCAGTTTATTAATTTCAGTGTTTATCACACAGTCCAATCAGGACCAGAATTTGCTACAGACTACACAGAGGCAAATCTAGAAGTGTCCCATTAATAACAAAATGGCAGAATAGTATAATGTGGGCCTTTGAGTCTGTAGCACAGGGAAAGTGTAAACACTATTAATGCTTAAAAGGAACAAAAAAATGTCCTAAACACATAATGCTTCGGTTTTGCAGGAGGCAACCCAGGATTGTTGATAGAAGAAATAAAGGCAGCATTCTTAATTAATGCAAGTCCAGTTCCTACCACCTTGCCTTTCAAATTAATCTTGAAATTTCACTCTTCTTCAATGTTTGAGGTGATCCTTCTTGTGCCTGCAGGTAGATTTTGCAAGATATTTTTATTTAGATATATTTTCATGTGACTATCTCCTGCATCCCTCCTTCTGCAGTATCAGGTTTTCTTTGATATTACATTTGAGATGTACAAAAAAGCCGCAAGTTTCCAGTAAAGGATCTTCTGGACACAAAACGCTGAAGCTTGTCTATTTTCGGTCAAAGGGTCAAGTTACTCTGTCTCAGCAAATTGCACCAAAAATATTGGCTAGCAGGGAGGGCAATAGTGCAAAATCTGCCTCAGCCAACTGTACTCTGTTTGGCCACTAAATGTTGTAAAATAGATATATTGTATAGATTATTGCAAGCCTGAAAAATTTGGTCATCAATACTGGTGACAAGTGCTGCTATAATCCAATTACCCAGTCATAGAGTGACAGAGGAGTTGAAGAAGAGTCACATACAAGACTCACTAGAACAAGCAATAACATCTGACACTTGCAAAGGCTATATGGAAATACTATGATACACCAACAGTGACCGGAATTCAATTTTTTCCTCCTTCTTCTGGATCTATGAAGTACCTAGAGGTCACGCTAGCTCTCACTCCTGTTTAACTAACATGAAACAGTTACACTACAAGATAGTTGAAGAAATGTATTTATTACCTCCTTTAGCTTTTCCACATTATCCATCACTTTTTCATACATATCATTGGCAGCTTTCAGCTTTTTGCTCCACTCCTCTGGGGTTTCTGGGCCATTGGTACTTGCTTCATTTGCTGACTGGCTAGTTTCCTCATTTTGGCAAGACAAAGTTGATGCTGTAGGATCCAGAAGAGATTTCAGCTGTGTCTGTAAACTGAGATTTTTACCTCTCAGTTCTTCCACTTCTTTTTGCAGGGATTCTATTTCATCCTAAAGGTGTCAGAAATTCACAGGAATTAAAATAACGTGTGTGATTAATTAAATAATACTGGCAAGTTCCCACAGCACTTTAGAAACATGGGTTCTGGCAAGCCCAGATGCATGCCTTCACTTACACGTATATCTAAGTATGCTTATGTATTGCGCTCTAGGCAGGATTTTAATCAACCTGCACACTCAAGCATAATGAAGGTTTTAGTGAAGGGAATCCCTTGACTACATAAAGGACCCTGAACAAACTGGCGGGCAGACCAAAAGCTTCAAAGCATTCAGCAACATGAATCTATTATTAGGTCACTCTGTGGGAGGATTTCCTGTATCAAGAGTGTTCTTAAGGTCGTCCTCTGCTGACTCATCTGCTGTTATTTGAGAATGTTTCTCTCATATCATTCTGAAACATCACATGTTCAGATGCTGAAAGTCTCAAGATTCAAAATGGACAACACTGCCTGGAAGAGGCCGCTCCAGCTACACGAAAGTAGCAACGTCTCTGCATTTTGAGTCTGCCCTAAGAGCAAAGTTTTTAGCTGTATCAGTCTGAAGCCATAAAGAAGCAAAAACTTTCAAAAGTCTGTTGTTAAAGGGATAAAAGAAATAATCTATCCTGAAAACATGTCTTCTACACTGTTCATCAACTTAAATACTTGAGTTGCTCAAGGTCAGATTAGTAAAGGAGGCCATATATGGTATTTACACAAATCTAAGGTATATTTGCACGAATAATCAAGCTTCCTGCCCCAGCGTGAGAACAACCATTTTAAATTCAGTTTTTTGAAGAGATTTATGTTATCCTATGCTTATCTGTGTGATTTTGGAGTTGATTCAATAGCAAGGCAGGAAACCTCCCTTTCCTGACTCCTTCTTTCATAGAGGATGAAAGAAACTGAGCTACAGGCAAGCTTGTCATAAAAGACAGCCCTTACTCCCCCAGTCCATTTCCTTTCTCTCATTCTCCTTCCTGAGACAGGTTTCCTTGCAAAATAGGCCATGTCTTCATACTGCTGCTACTAAGGAAACAACAGCTGAGAAAACAAACTAAGCATATTCCTTATTAAGACCTTTTCACCTTGTTCGAAAGAGAGTATTTTTCCAGCAGAAAAGTGGAGATAAACTTCCAAGCATTCACTCACTTCCAGAAGACAATGAAGCAACAGTGATAAAAATTAACCAGATGGTTACAGTGGGCAATATCCTTTAAGAAGGAATTCAGTCTCCCTGAGCAACAGGGAATTACTTCAGAAAATGCTTGTACTGAAGACAAAACAAAAAGCCCCCAACACGCAATATGCATAAAGAACACCCTCCCATTACCACCTGGGGGTGGAATTCCCACAAAACTATAGAATTGGCAGTACTTGGCTACCTGTAGCATAGAAAGACTATGACCATGACTTCAGAGGGACCATTTCAAGCACCAGCAAATGCTCTCTCCTAACCTTAGCCAGACGGCGGGATTTTAATGCAGTTGAGTTTCATGCAGATCCAGTATAAACCTTTACTCAAATTAAAAACAATGGGACTCAAAGCAAAAGGACCAGTTGTATGCAGTAATTTAACAGCTGCAGTTCATCTGGAAAGTCACAACACTCCCCACGTCCTTACCTCATATTCTTTGTGGAGCAACTCCAGCCTTGTTTTACGTAGGTGTTTTCTGACTGTTGGACTAAATATAGGATCACTTTCACTTGCTCCTCCTAAAGTAGCACAGGATGAAAGAAACACTCTTATTGTTTCTTTTTCAGTCAATTCAATACCTGTAATCCACCTTATAGCACTTTTCGTATTATCAACTACAAGTACAGCTAATATTGGACCAATTACTACCATGGGCAATTTAAAGTCCTTTCATTTTCAGAACAAGTTAAACATTGTGTATCTATTAGTGATGTTTAGAAGTCAAAATCCTGTCTCACAGCAGTAAGACAACTAAGACAACTTTTGTATTTTTTAATTTTGTATTTTCCTTGACAGAATCCTTTCATCCTATCTTATTTAAGATCATACTATTAAAACACAGCAGGGGTGGAAATCAAGCATATATTTAATTAGTACAAGATAGTGTAAGTTTCTAAAGTGAGATTGTTCAGATATATTTTTGTCTCAGAATCAAAATAACAGAGCAGACATTTTATGTCAAATAAAGATCGCAGCATTTCCTAGCTCTGAGAAAGTTCAGATTCTCATTCAAGCATTGCAGCTTTGTCTTATTTCTGTGCTAAGAGACAGTTTCTTAAAAATAAAGCAAAAGAGAAGAAATTGTGAACAAACCAAACCAACCAACCAACAGCAAAAAAGAAACAAGTCCACATACTCATTCCAGAGTCTGGATTTAAGTACTCTATTTCTCAGCTAAATGCTACTCTCTTAGGTCAACAAGTTGCAATGCATAGGCAGAGCACTTCAAGCGAGATGCATTTTTTTTCCAGTTAAAGGCACCATCCAACCAAGATTTAAAAACCAATCATTACTGTCGCGGGGTACTTGCTGCCTTTGAATAATTTTGCCATTAATACACATAGCATCTTCGGAATTTTTACCTTGTAGCTATTATATACTCTTCTGGAAAGATTTATAGTCAGATCTTCCTTAGACACTGATAAAAAACACACAGAGGAAAAAATATCCCGACATCTTTGGACTCAAAAGAATCTCCTCCAGCAGTAAATACCAGAAAGTTATTTCAAATCCTAAAGTTGTCCTTACCTATAATTTCCTTGCAAGGATTTTCAGGCGTGATGGGAATCCTGCAAGCTGGGCACTGATTATTGTTCTTCAGCCACACTTCAATACAAATGGAACAGAAGACATGGTTGTTGACACAGATGACTGGCTGACGGACCTTTTAGTATTAAAGGGAAAAGAAAAGAAAAGAAAAAAGAAAAGAAAAAAAAGAAAAGAAAAAAAAGAAAAGAAAAGAAAAGAAAAGAAAAGAAAAGAAAAGAAAAGAAAAGAAAAGAAAAGAAAAGAAAAGAAAAGAAAAGAAAAGAAAAGAAGAGAAAAGAAAAGAAAAGAGAAAAGAAAAGAAAAAAGAAAAAACAAACAGAAAGACACTATGAATACTTTAAAACTCTTTCAGGTAATGGAACATGAAAATACACTACTCCATCTCTCAGTGCAAGTCTGGTGTTGCAGGAAAGAGAACACTCTCGTTTCACAGGGCTCGCTAGGAGTGACCTCCTGACTCACACCACCAAACTTCCCTATTACTGAAGGCACCAAAGCTATAACCATTTTTGCAAAACTAAGGTCCTCGATTCCAAGAGTTCATTAATACACCATGTGGCAGTCACCTTTCCTTCACCCCACAACCTCCAAGAACCACAGGCAAGCACTTCAGTGAAATGCATTTGCCTCCCTAGGTAGAAGGAGACCAAAAGACACATATTAGCTGATTTCTAAAAGTGAGTGAATGAGGGATTGCTCCTGGCAACAACCAACACTTTGCCTCGGAGGAGGTGTCACTGAAACGGATAGTGTTACAGATTAACTCTAGCCTGCACATAACCAGCTTCATGGAAATCAGCTTTAAACAGGATAAGGGCCAAAACCGCAGAGCAGAAACATGAACCAGCAATCACTAATTCAAGCCTCCTGCTAGATATGCATTGCTACTAAATAAGTAATTACCCAAGAATGGGGCAGCTAACCGAAGGATTAAATATTCCAATCAGACACAGATCCTTTCAAGAAGCTTTCCCTTCCCTTCCAAAACAGCAAGGTAAACAAACTTTCAGAAAATATTAATGACAATGCATTATTCTTTCTTGTTGTTTAACTATAAACCCTGTTTGAAAGCAAGTGTGCATAGAGGGACCAAATACAATATGGAATAAAAAGACTTTCCTCTATGCCCAAGAAACGTGTTTTGTGACACAGAAGTATCAGTATCTATTACTGTACATTCTACTGTGTTGCACTTAAAACCTAAGTTCAAGAGAATCCTTTCAACTTTAGAAGACGTCCTCATCATCCTCAAGATCTTCCTTTTTCATTCTATTAGTAAAGTGGTCAAACTAAAAAGGAAAAATGAAATATTGGCAGGGAGAAGAAAGCAACTGGAAAAGGTCAGACAATGACCACTTGGAAAAACAGATCAGATGTGTCCTGTAGTATCATACCCACACAATCAGTGTTGCACAAGCTAAAAACCCAAGCATTTTACCACTGAAATACACATGGATCTGAATTAACGCCCAGATCTGTCAGCTGCTTCTCCAATTTACTATCTATGTCTCTGTCACATTACAGGATTCACAGTATTTTTAAAACCTCCAACGTGACAGCCCTGGGAGCCAAAGAATTTACCAGTACACAAACAGAAACTCAAGTTACTGAAGGTGTGAACAGAGAGAGATCAAATGATTTCTCCAAGTGTCTGCACACTTTCACCTCTAATTAAGGAGGCTTTTTTGTGATTAATGCAAGCATTAGCACACCAATGGTTTGGAAACCTTTTAATATTACAATTTCAATTATTTAAAAAAAAAAAAAAAGTCTTATTTACTGCTTTTTTTTTACCAGAAGGAGCTTTCTCCAGCTTTTCCACTAGCAGTTAGAAGAAAAAAACCAAGCAACTTTTTCTCTAGCCGTACTTCTTTCTTACTCAGAAGCAGCCTGAGAACAGTTATATGGATGACAACGATAGGATACAGAGCAGAATAATGTAAAATAATCCAAACAGCAGAAGACATTTCAGGAGTGCAGGTCTCCCCCCTGGGGAGCAAGAGACCCTCAGTTACCCCAAACCTGACATGGAAGCGCACTTCTTGCAAATGAATGATTACTCCGTATCTCTAGCAAAATAGTAACTCACATTTATTACTCTCCAGCATACAGCGCTTCTGATTTACACACCTTTACAAGTCTCATTTCAGGGCTGAGGTTTACACTTTTGTTGGCTCAGGATTCACAGAAAGCAATCCATGGGACAACAGCAGAAGCCACTAAGGAAATGTCATACAATGGCTGGGGGGTGCCACTGTCCTTCACCAAGTCCCTGAGCCACCAACTGTGACAAACCTGGGGGGTGACGGATCATGACATACTCATTACTAAAAAAGCATTTCACTTGAACTACAGCACAGTTTCAGTTCCTTAATTGACCGTAATGTCTAGAAAGACTGCAGCTTATTTGAGAAGGCTTGATCAGCTAGGTGATTTTGAGCAATTTCCTAATTTTTCCCCCACACATAATGCGATTCCTACGCAGATCAAAATCCAATCCTTTAGACATCTATGTCACTTTGAAGGCACTTCTGGACCTTCAAGCAGCATTAATTCAGGAGCAGGTACGTGGAAAAGCAAGCACACTGATACCAGTGAATGAATCCACAGACATCCCAGGAGGTTTGAACACACAGAATCAACCAAATCCCAGCTCAACCAAACTGTCAACACCAACACCAATGCCAACAGGAGAGACCTTCAGTCATTCTAGGACGAGTAAACCTAACAGCTCAATGCAGATGGCTTTTGATCTGCTATGAACACAGGTATGCTAGAAGATAGTCCAGATCATGTTAAAAGAACATTCAGGTAACAAACATTAAATTTATCCAAGCAATTAACTCTTACTATAAATGGTTATTTGCACATCTTGTCAACATACTTTACGACACCATTCACACTAACAAAATGGGTTAATGTTCCCCCCCTCCAAGGTTTCTGCTTCATTAAAAACAATGAGTGGTTGACATTATTGAATGAGTTTCTCTTCAATATCTCTTTTTATTCCCTTACCATTATGCCCAGTGAATAGTTCCTATTTTGCAGTCAGTCCTTTGCAAACTTTGCAGAGATAGTAAGAGGTACATTCCAACTGTAGAGTGGGCCTTCCACTCAATTTGAAGCCCATGCTACAAAGCACAGAAGTATTAGAATACATCGACCCTCCACTACACTTTCTGCTACTCCCTACAATACAGGACAAAACCAGTAAGATTTTTCCCTTAATTTAAACTAAGTAACTTTTTCTTCCTCTAACCTTACTCTTAAGAAGAGCTTTTTCTGATGAAGTTTTTCAATGAAGTTCCGAGACAAAGGTATGTATTAGAAAAAGGGACAGCCAGAGCTGTCAACTTTTGCAAAATTTACAACAGTTTCATGCATCTAAAACGGAAAGCATTCGAATACCTTTACTACAGGTATCAATGTAGATTCACTTATATAATGTTAATATATTACCTCAGTGCAAGATACAAAGTAAGAAAAGTGTTGAAATCTCTTCCAGTACAAACTCAGGAACATCTATTCCTGACTAACTCCAGAAAAGAAGTCAAAGTATGAAACACTGGCTTTGTCACGTCTCACTCAACCCAGAGGGGAAGAGGGAGCGACTGAGATTTGCTGAGTCCCTTGGCTGGAACAGAGTGCATAAAACACTAGAGGTCCTCTCATCTACAAAGGCTTTATTTTTTGACAAAGGCTTCTAAATGTTGATTAACTTTATCAAAGTATACCAACTTTTTACAAGCAGCCATGGTCTGCCCTGCGTTACCTAGCAATTTACCAGAGAGAGGAGGTGGGGGGAGGGTGCAGAGAGAAAGGGAGAGAGAAGCCGAGGGAGAGAGGTCACCGGTCTGACACAGCGTGGGTGGGCAAGTCCTTTTGGTCTTGAACTGAATTGCTGGTTGCGTTCTCCCCCTGTCACATTTATCTTTCCCCCAGTTACTGCAGATTTTTGCTGACTTTGCTGCTTCCTGGGCAATCATCCAGCCTTTGGTGCCTTCTGAGGCAGGATTTTCCCTTTTTTCAGTCCTTAGTTAAAGTTTCGTTTGATCTTGCGTCACTTCCGAGTGTTTGAGACATTCCTTGGAGAAGCTTAGGGGAGTCTCCACCCCTCCCTCGCTTTTCCCAAGTTCTGTCTTTGCTGTTCCATGTCCCCCGCTGAGCAAACAATCCTCTTGTTCAGAGGGATTTATGGGTTGGCAAAAGATCGAGTTTGTTTAGCTTTCTGCTTGGTCTCCCACACCACCCCATGGCTCAAACACTCTGAGTTCTTCTTCAACCGTTGTGACCCATACATAGCAAACAGGTACAGAGGAAAGAGAAGACAGAAGGTGAGATATCATACATCTAACTACTGCAAGGCCTAGCATCAAAACCAAAAATCCACACAGTATCATAAGGCTGATATTTACAAGTCATCTTCCCCACCCCGTTAGTCCAAGAGACTTCAACATCGATGCAATCCATGATCCGGGGCTAAGTCCATCAAACCAATTTGTCGGTTGCATTGCTTGAAATAGCTCTCCACTCCTGTCAGCGACCTCCTTCATCTTTGTGCGTGCTTCTTCTATAGTGGTAGAGGCATTGTAGATGGTGATACAACATTCTCCTTCTGTCAAATTTAACATTCCACATACCCCATGTTCTTTTAACAGTAGCATATCCAAGGCTAATCGATTTTGCAGGGTCATCTTTGACCCTTGTTGGACTTGTATATTTATGTCCCCAAAAGCATACCTTGTCCAATTACTTAGGACATGTACTTGCCAAGTCAAATTCTCTAGAACATATTGATGTTTTTCAATAACCACACTGGGCATAAAAAATGCCTCCATTTGTAACGCAAATGTTTTTCCAAATGTATAGTAATCGGGTATTTGTATTCCTGCAATCCCTTGCTTTACATCTGCCAGCCTACCAAGATCTCTCTGTATCCTGTTGCGGCGAGATGTAAAATTAAACACTCTAGAGGGACACATGGAGGGGAAGCCAATAGAACACTGCAATCCGGCCATGTCATATATATTTAACTGGGAATACAATTTCCCATTTGAACACGCCCATACCATCCCTCGTGGGGCTGAGTATCTTGCCTGGAAGCAATCAAATGGGTCGTCTCGAGGTATCTCCTGTTGCTTTCCATCTGGGCTCCAGACCTTCCGGTGATCTGGGCCATGCGTGACCGGAATGCCACAGGAGAGGGCTATTTTGGAGTCTCTAAAGGAACCATTACACCGCTCATCCTGATTCCGATAGCCATAGTTGGGGTAACCCCAACAGATACACATATCTCGAATAAATGTTCTCAGTTCTGGAATATACCAAGTTTCTAATGGGTCACCTGCTCCAGTAGAGCAGTTTAATATTCGGGAACAACTCAGCAAGGACACATTATGGTCTGGAGCCGTGCTTCTATGTTTTCGACTGTTCCAACATAGGGTTTCCCCATTAGGGAGCCTAACTTGGTTATACATACAACTTTGAACACCAACCTCCCACCCAATCGTTGTCCCATCAGGGAGGTTAGAAGCAGAAGACAAAGGACGGTTGGGGTTAAACAGTCTTTTCAAAGACCAAGCCCATTCATACCTGGTACGGTTAACAAGATCCATTGTCCCTGGTTTGTCAGGGATATGTATACACCAATCTGCATCCCAATGTACATTGTATTCATGTTCAAAGTAACCACTTTCAGAGGGGGAATCCCACCACGGTACTATGGTGCAAGGAACAGGAACAGAAGTGAGATTTTTTGGCTTCGTACTAGACTCATGGGTTAAGGACCTGTAACAAGTTTGGTTCCACAAATCTTCCCAAGTAGAATTGCTCGGGAGCTGATACAAAGCCCTTGAGTGTTCAATCCATGTCCCGTTACTTTTCCATGGTTGCCCCTCCTTTTGTTCAAGAAAAGGAGACTCCATTGTCCCCCATGTGGCGTTTCCTTCTGTTTTGTTGAGATGGTTTAACTCGTTTGTCAGTATCTTTGTAAAATTTAGACTAATCATTGTAAATTTGAATCCCTCAGATGCAGAATTGGGGAGGGCAACGCATATCCCCTGGTCCGTATGGTTCCAAATATGCATAAACCCTTGTATCAACTCCCAGGCTAAATTGGGGGATTCTCCCCATGAGCCCATTATCCCAACAGCGATGGAGAAGAAACAGGCTTTCCAATCCATCTTTCCTCAGTACAATACAAAAATATTCCCAACAAAATTAAACAGACAACACAAATAACAATCCACTCTGTGATTGTGAATACAGGTCCCACGATGGGTCACCCACAACCTGCAATATACATATATAAAAAACAGAAGATAATTAAAAAAGATGGAACAATCCATCGGGTATGGATCCGATGATCCCTTCCACAGGCATCTGTCACCATACAGGCATATGTATTGACAGGAGTTTTTAGGGTTAGGGGTACCTGCCCCACAGTGGGTAGATCCACCAAAACAGGTTGACCTGGATAGTGGAGTGGGTTCGCTAGATCTTTGCTCTCCCCCTTCCCAGGCAAAACGCACAGAGGCTTAGGGCAAAATGCGGTGAGTCAGGGACAGCCATTAATCCCCCAACAGCTGTTGACCTTAGTCACTGCATCAGACACCCATTGTGCCCACTCTGGGTTGTGAGGCTTCAGGAGTCCATTAGCGTGCTCTCCATGCCATTTGCCTGAGGGTAATATGGGGTATGAAAGACCCATTTGTATCCCTTCATCTCATGCCCACTCTTGCACCACCCTGGCAGCTAAGCGGCTTCCGTTGTCCAATTGGATTGATTTGGGTTTAGGCAAGCAACTAAACCACAATTTTAAACCTTTTACGGTGTTGTCCCCTGTTGCTCACTGCACTGCTTCCGCTTGGGTTAACCGTGATACCACTTCAACTCCCACCAATACATATTGTTTTCCCTGAGGGTCAGAAAGGACCAATATAGTCCACCTGCCAGGTGTCCCACAACCCTTTATTGTCTCTTAAGTGCAGAAGTTGGTCCTTAAGATGATTGTGTTCTTCTAATCACATCTGACATAAGCTACATGCAGAAATGATAGTGTTGCACAATTCTCTGGTCATAGACCACTCTCTACTAATTGCCTCTTTATATAGATCTCTGTTTCCCAAATGGCCTCATTTCACGTGGATCCATTCCAACAAATGTTCCCATTTTTCCCCCTCACCTTCCATAGCCACTCTTGCCAAATGGGTCATTGAATCCACCTGGTTATTTAGTAGGTGGGCTGGGTGATTTCCCACCTGGTGTGCAGTGACCCACCCTACTAAAAGGGTTCTCTGTTTACCTATATTTAGGATTTCTTCCCATTTTTCACACTGCCATACCAGTACCCAATTTACTTCCTACTGGTTTTGTTCCCAGAATGGGAGCCATTCAGTACATCCCCTGAACGTGGCACAGGAATCTGTGTAAATAAACACTGGTTCTGCAGTCTCAGCTTCTTTAACTATCACACTCCATATCGCTATCAACTCTCCCACCTGAGCACTTCCCTCACCCTCTGTTACCATTCGGTCCCCTGAATCAACATGCAGTGTTACCACCCGGTATTTCCATACCTTTCCCTCTCTTCTAGAGGACAGATCAGTGAATCATACATTCTTTAGGTGGGGTTCAAGGGGGCAGGTTCAGGAGCGGGCAGGTTTTATATAAGAAGGAGGAGGTCCCTCGTCCAGTTGATCGCCGGGTGGTTCTTGTATTTGGAGTACTTTGGGTGCTCCCTCCTCTATCCAACACGTACTGCAGTAAGGATCTAATTGCGCATACCAATTCCTTACTGTTGCTCCCTGAGCAAGCCCCGCAGAGGGTGGGGTTCTGGCCAGTACCAGTTTTAAAAGGTTCTCACAGAATGATTGGCTGTTTCTGTATGATTTTTTCAGCTTCCTGTAGAGCTAGACTAACCACAATGAGGCCCTTCTCCCAAACTGAATACGGTTTTTCCATCATCTTTGACACTGCACAAATAAAACCCTATAGGGCAAGTCAGATCCTCTGGTCCATGCTGCCACATATGTACGGATAGTTCATGAATCACAAAATCCCACTCTATCTGGAGCAGACCTGTGGGGTGTGTGGGTGCCAAGGCTTGGTATACTCCGACCTCAAAACCCAACAGCTTTAAGGCCTCCTCATGGACAGGAGTCCAGTCCCAAGTGGTCCTCGTGTGTGTCAAATCATACAAGGGGCAAGCTATGATAGAGAAACCTGGAATGTGTTTTCTCCAACACGAGCACGTGTAAAGCTTGTTGCAGTTCTTATTTTCAGGTATTTTTACTTGTTCAAGTGTAATTAAGGTTTCAGAGGGAACACACACTGCTCCTCCCCTCCACCAAATACCCAGGAACTTTACCTCAGAAGAGGGAAGCTGTATTTTCTCTTCCGGAATTTGAAGTCCTAAGTTCTCCAGATAGGTAACTATTTCAGTTTGGGTTTGTGCCACTGCAATGGCATCAGGGCCACGGATCAATGTATCATTGATATATTGATACACTTTAACTCCCTCCTGGAGAGTGATTTGGGCAACCTCCTGTGCTAACGCATAACAAGCAGTGCTTGGGGAATGAGGATAGCCCCGAGGCAAGCGCATGAAGGTAAACTGCGCACCCTCCCACGTAAAAGCAAAAGTCTCTATCTGCTTCCTGTAAAAGGGCCACAAAGAACATGTCTTGCACATCAATAGTTGCCAAGATTTGGTGGGTTTGCTCTTGTATGGTCACAATCCGTTCAGCTATGTTAGGCACTGCAGCTGTTAAGGGACCGGTATTTGCGTTCAAATGCTGGTAGTCAATGGTTAATCGCCATCTCCCTTTTGGTTTACGCACATGCCAGACAGGGGAATTAAAGGGGGAATGCTGTACAGCATACAGTTTCAAAAAGTCAGGTAAACCTCAAAACAGGGCAGTCAGCCTGTCTAGATTTGCATTTCACTGCACTGGAGAGGGCTGTTGAGGAACTAGGTGTCTGTCATGCATTAACTGGAGACAAGTAGCCTTTTGTAGACTTTTGGTTAAGTGATTTATAGTTGGGGTCTCAATGGTCATCAGGTCTCCCCTCTCCAAGGAGTCTAGACCTCTGGCCCAATAGGCAACTTGTTGGGTTAACAACCATGGTCCTCTGTGGTCAAAAATACCCTGGGTCCCCAAGACCCTTGTGCCTCATCTTCTGAGAGTAAAATCCTATCCCCTCCTGTCAGCAAGACCCTCCAGATATAGTCTCAGTTTCTTGAGCTAGTCTAGTATATTTTTCTTGAATTTTTGAAAGCTCAGTGGCTGAGTACGGTACAAAGTGGGTAGAGATGACGACTTGCCGGGCCCCTCCTTGTTGATCATTACAGGAGGTTTCAGTTTTAGTAAGTGGCCTCATTGTTACTTCTTCACTTTTGGGGTAGAATGTTTTCCAACTTATTTCCAGCTCCTTGTTAGGATACAAGGGGCTTGATTCGGGCTCTCGTTTTTTGGTCGATTTGGCCAAACTCGAGAATCCCGGTTCACCTTCTTGGACAGACTCAAGGTCCGTCAATTATTTTCCTCCAGTTCAAATCTTAAGATTTTCTCTTGCTCTAAGGCATCTGATAGTGCAGAGTTTAATCACTCACTAGTATTGCATTCTGCAGCTAACTGGTCCTGCAAGACCTTTACTAGGTCCTGTAGGGACTTAATAATTTCCTCATCTGTCTGCCTGGTCAACCGTCTATCCTTTTGGGCTGCCATCAGTGCCGTATGCAATACAGCACACACTACCACTTTTCCCTTTCCTGTCCTGAGTTTCCTCTGTCACAGCCTTTGGACTGTGCCAGTTATGAGCCCAGGTCATTCCCGATGGGGAAGGACATGCATTGTATTCTTTCAATTTTTTGATAACAGGGGAGCAGTCAAGTGCTGGTGTTTTCCAGGCTGACATGGCTTGCTGCTGCTCAAAGCTCTCCCAGCTTACTGCTAGGAGGTTGCTCCCCAGCTCTTCCTTCCTATTCTGTTTAGGTGAAGGGCTGGTATCCCCGAGGACCCTCCACTCCAAGGGAATCCTGTCCGTGATGCCAACTAAATGTCATGTCCCACTCAACCCAAAGGGGAAGAAGGAGTGACTCCGATTCGCTGATTCCCTTGGTTGGAATAGAGTGCATACAACACTAGAGCTCCTCTTGCCTACAAAGGCTTTATTTTTTGACAAAGTCTTCTAAATATCAATTAGTTTTATCAAAATATACCAATGGTTTACAACAAGTTGTGGTCTGCCTCACGTTACCTAGCAATTTACCAGAGAGAGAGAGAAGAGG